GACTGACATGCAGCACAGACAGGTGACCACAGTGCCACAGACTAGAGGGGTTACAACTGGAGACTGACATGCAGCACAGACAGGTGACCACAGTGCCACAGACTAGAGGGGTTACAACTGGAGACTGACATGCAGCACAGACAGGTGACCACAGTGCCACAGACTAGAGCAGGGGGTTACAACTGGAGACTGACATGCACAGAAAAGGGAATGAGGAGAGATAAGGACGACTGATGTTTGCCAGGAAAGAAGGAGCAGACCACACCAGGGCACCCACCAAACAACAACAGACTTAGATTTCCTAGATGGGAAAGGGAAACAAAGGTGGGGGGGTGGGGGAGGGGAACGATGGGCTCATCAAGTTGTTGTATCCATCCAGACTAGTCAAGTAAAATACAGAAGCAACTCTTTACCTCTGACAGCCAAGCCTTCATATATTGGTGCAATTAAAAAATGCACCCCCCAAAAAAACAAAACAAACAAACAACAAAACAACAACACCAAAAACAAAATTTTTTAAAATGATAAAACCTCCTGAAAACCTCCTGAAAACACCCTGAACCAAAGCAAACAGCTGATGTAGAAAAACAAACCCAAACCTCAAACCAATCCTGGGCAAGCTATCTATCATACTCTACTGCGACGAGGATTGGAGACACAAAAAGTAAGCGAGACAAACTAAGAACAAGAAAACTGAGGAAAGAAACAGAGGAGAAAACAGAAATCATAAACCCACGAAAGGAAAACAAAAATTTCTATCATGCGCATTTTTATTTCATTTTTTAAAGATAATCACAATAAAAATGGAATTCTCTCAAAAAATAAATTATGCACAAATACAACAATTGAGCTGCCAATGAGGAATGTTTCATATAATTACATAATTATATAATAACCATCAGAATAATTATCGTGACATCCCCTAGATTAATTATACATATATAACAACATTCTTGGAATTCCCCTGACTCTACCATGCAATAGAGAGATATCTAAACACAGCACAGAGCTTTAGTTGGTGTTTTACAGCACTGGCAACACAAAGAAGTCACACCAGTGCCGGAGATTAGCGTGTACTAGAGAGGAACATGCAAAGTTGAGAAAGAGGAGAGATATGGACGATCGATCATGTTTGGCAGGAAAGAAGGAGCAAATCACACCAGAGCACCCGCCAACCACCCACTACTTCAGTACTATCCTGCTAAAACCACACTGCCCTGAGAGAGATACGAATACCATACAACAAAATCATAGATCAGAGGTAGTCATGTACGAGCTAATCATAAACATTCTAGAATATATATCGCAGCGTGGGAGTGCACATCAACAGAACAAGCAAATGAACAAACACGGAACATTACAGCAGAGAATGGATCAAAACTGAATCTACACCAAGGCAACATTTCACCACGGCAACACGCACATTTCACCACGGCAACACGCACATTTCACTACGGCAACACGCACATTTCACCACGGCAACACGCACATTTCACCACGGCAACACGCACATTTCACTACGGCACGTGGTGAGAAGCAATGAAATTATATATATTAATATATATATATATATATATATGACAAAGGCCCATCACAAAAAGCCAAGGAGAAACAATATGCAACTAAACATCCACCACAAAACAACAAATTCAAGTCCCAAACAGAGCTCAAACAAGTGCAGGAACAACAAAACCACCACAGCAAACCATTCAAACAAAAAAAACAAACAAATCCAACAGTTTCTGTTTCAAAAAGTTCACAAACAAAACCAGCGTGCAGCAAAACAAAAAACAAAACAATTCCAACTATTTCTATTTCCCAAACAAAACCAGCGAGCAGCAAACCACACAAACAAAACAATCTCAACTACCTCTCTTGTACAACCAAACCCCTCCAGCTGATTCCACCCCCGCCCACCCCCACCACTTATGACACAACAGCTGTCCACACATTGGGAAATCTAACTAGACCTACATAACCATCTTTCAGTAACATATAGGCCTATACATAACAATCTTTCAGTAACATATACTCCTATACATAACCATCTTTCAATAACATATAGGCCTATACATAACCATCTTTCAATAACATATACTCCTATACATAACAATCTTTCAGTAACATATACTCCTATACATAACCATCTTTCAATAACATATACTCCTATACGTAACCATCTGTCAATAACATATACTCCTATACTGTAAGGAAATACAAAATAAGCTCACAGAAAAAAAAAAACAACCCACCCCCCTTTCCCCTAGAAAAAAAAAAGCTGCAGGGTAGATAAAATGAGGCAAAGATAATATATATATACAATGTATATATTTCGTGCTCAGATAAGCGTGCAGTTTTATATACATATCATATGTAACAATACAGGCTTCTCCGCTAAGCAGCGCGTAACTGGTTGCATTAGGCCAATGCTGGAGTTTTGTCTTAAATGACAGTACATCCACTAGGAGACCAAATTGTTTCTGTTCAGTTCTAGAAGTTTTACGGAGCTCACAGCTTCATTGGGACGAAACTGAAATATGAATTGTACGTGATTGTTTCAATCATGGAGCACATTTGTCTTTGTTTGTCTGGTATCGATATCTTAGCTAAAGGTGGGGAAAGTGTTGTGAAGAAAAGTAACATAGAGGGAAGATGTACCTTTGGGTTTTCTCTTTTAAAAAAAGACACATAGGAAAATTGTTGAATATATCGTCCTTCATAAAGTAAACAAGACCCACAAAGCCATCACTTTTTGTAAAAAGGACAATATGCTGGATAAACTATGGCTCTTTAAAACTTTGAGAATGGTCATTCAAACCTTTTTTTTAAATCACTCAAAAGACAGTACGTGGTATATCTTTCCTTTTACAGAAAATTAATCTGCATTATAATTATACTACTTTCATTGTAAAACAAAGATTGGAATTTCGGTGAATAAGAAAAAATGAACGCCATCATAATGTAACAGACACTGTTCTGATTGTTCATCTTTGTGGTGAATCCGGTGACTGAGTGTTGGGAGGGAGGAGGGGGGGGGGGTTATTTTGGCTCTCCTGAAATCCTGACAAAACCAGAAGTAACCGGATGTACAGTGTTTTCAAACAAAACTCCAGAATCTCCTCCGCAGAAGGGTACAAGAAGTGTGAGGACGAGTGTGCAGCGTAGACTTTTTGACTTTGAGCAGAACAACAAATATCAACAACGACAGTGAGCACTTACGTGACTCAACTGTCTTGTTGTACGATAAACTGTCTTGTTGTAGGGTCAACTGTCTTGTTGTACGATAAACTGTCTTGTTGTACGATAAACTGTCTTGTTGTAGGGTCAACTGTCTTGTTGTACGATAAACTGTCTTGTTGTACGATAAACTGTCTCAAGTTTTGAAGGACTCAAGTAGGATTCTGAGCAAGCAAAACAAAACATCCAATAGAATGTGTAAATACAACGTATAAATGATACTGGGTAGTTAAGTTGAGCACATATGCTGTTAAGTAACATTTTCCACGGAATGCTGCCTTTACAGTTGACTGTCAATATTATTTAAACAAGCAAGGTAAAATAAGAGAGATCTCTCTTCAGGAAGTCGATGAGGTATATAACATATAAAATATGAAGTATAAAAGAATATATTGTTATATATAAAATGGTTTTTGGTTGACAACTTCCTGTGCTATGTACCGACACTGCGGAACTGTCGCTGACAGACGAGTGACTCGAGGCGACACACACAGATTCCCAACTCTTCTTTTCTCCTCCACCTCACCAAATACTTCCACGATTTACCAGAAAAATAGAACGTGGGAGATGACGACATAGACAACAGAGAAAGATACACAAGTCATTGCAAGAAACAACTTTGTGAGGCAATCTTCAGAAAGAAATGTTTAAAACGCCTTGGCTAAAAATCACATGAAAAAAGCAGGTAAGCCTTCCCTTTGCCTACCTATCACCCACTCATTGTAGAAAAATTGTAGTTAGGGAAGATGTTACAAACACATGCTTCTAGAACAACTGTTCTAGAACTCTTAACAAAATATTTTCATTAAAAAAAAAAAAAGATTAAAATTCAGACTTTGATCGACAACACTTGGATTTGTAAAAATGTGAAACTCAGTCCAAAGTAACAATAAGTAACAAAGAATAAGTAACAAAGAACTGCACAGAAGGACGGCCGTTTGTTGCATCTTCCGTCCTCAAGCACTTTCAGCTTTGAGACAGTGGACGTTTGTTTATATATATATACACACATTTTTGTTTGTTATTTTGATTATTTCGTAAAGAACAATGGAGTTGAACGTGCAAAACACAGGACACAACACGGAGAAATAAAACACACGACACAACACGGAGAAATAAAACACAGGACACAACACGGAGAAATAAAACACAGGACACAACACGGAGAAATAAAACACAGGACACAACACGGAGAAATAAAACACAGGACAAAACACGGAGAAATAAAACACAGGACAAAACACGGAGAAATAAAACAAAGAGCATCAAACAAAAGGGAGGCAAGCCAGACAAGCGTGCACCACAGCAGGCAAAAATACACGGTCAGCAACACGTGTGCTCATACTTCCTACACATTCCACACAAACCGTCACCTACAACTACACACTTAACACACACACCCACTACACAATAAACACACTATGTCACTACTGTACATTTGACACGGGTCATAAGTAACCTGTATAAACATGACACATACAGAACACATAACTACACCACATCCCACATCTAACTGCTACACTATACATTTGACGCACCATAACCTCTACACGCAAGACACACACATAACACACATAACTACAACACATTCCACACACACATCCCACACACACACACCCCACACATAACTGCTACACTACACATTTGACACACCATAACCTCTACATGCAAGACACACACATAACACACATAACTACAAAACATCGCACACACACATAACACACATAACTACAACACATCCCACACACACATAACACACATAACTACAACACATCCCACACACACTTCCCACACACACACACCACACATAACTGCTATACTACACATTTGACTTGTAACTTCCACATGACACATTTGACAACGACACATTCGTCCCACTAGACATTTGACACACGACACATTCGTCCCACTAGACATTTGACACACGACACATTCGTCCCACTAGACATTCGACACACGACACATTTGCCCCACTAGACATTTGCCCCACGAGACATTTGACACACGACACATTTGACACACGACACATTGCCCCACTAGACATTCGACACACGACACATTCGTCCCACTAGACATTGGACACATAAGATATACAAGACCTGGGTCTGGCAGGACGAGCGCGTGGAGACTCTGCCACCGCTGGGGGCGCGTCTATCTCCAGCGGTGACTCGGGGATGGTCGGGGAGGTCGGGCTGTGGATCTCCTCTGTCCTTGACCTCTGCCGCTTCGGGAACTTACGAGGGGAGAACTGTAGGTCAAGGCCACGCCGCGAGTCAGCA